GCTGCATCGTGAGAAACGCCTGAAACGTCACAAAAATTTGATCTGCAAAATTCAGATTCCTGAATGAGAGCGAGTGTCTTCCTTCAGGTATGGAGGCAACAAAAACACGATGCAATAAGAAAACAGACCAAGATGAAGACGGGGGACCAGGGACTTCCTCCCAGTGAACATATTTGGAAGCGAAGTTCTTGCCTTACTGCTGGTAACAAACACTCAACAGATGTTTTGTTGTTGTTTTTTTCTTGTTGTAAGTTTCTCTGCATGAATGATGTGCATGTAAACTCCCAAAACAACTCAGTAGCAATAAATGCAGTAGAACATTTAAAATGGCCGAGAAGTTGGACGTGGTTTTGATTTCTTCAAGATAAATAGAGACTTTAATTTTAAGTTCTTTCAAATCCCTTGGATGTTGTCAAATTAATATGCTTAATTGCAAAATGATTATTGTTAGCTTGGGTAGTTAAATCGTAACCTTACATTGTACTTTGAAGGACTTGCCTTTAAGGGAAGTCACAGCCCCAAAACTGACTGCCTGGTTTAGATACATGTAACCAATCAAAATGAGGATTAAGACAAAGAAACCCATCCCCCAAATCACTACAAATACCTCAACATATGCTGACTGTGTGTGTGTATAAATAGCTGCAGTGTGTGAGGCGAGCAGCTGATTGTCCTTGTTCATTAAGATTAAAGCAAGAACGCCTCAGAACAAAACGCTGCGTGTGTGTTTTACTGCGTCAGTAAAAGGTCTGTTGCATAACTAGAGGTGGATGCAGTCGTGCACGCACACATAGCTCCGTCTCTGTCAGAACACAGTCGTATGTGTGATGTTAGTGCTGTACTGTAGCAGCTTAAAGAGAACAACATGCTCGAGACGAAACGAGTCCTTTGCGCACACATACATGTGCTGTCAGCGCTGCGTCGGCTCTACCGTGAAACCACTGCCGACTGATTAGCTGCTCATAAATGTCACCTGTCATGTGGTGAGATCAATGAGGGAGCAAATACACAGTAACGTAAGGTTTATGTGTGGAGGCAGGAAAAATGGTGACACGTGTGAATGACTCTGACATTCACAGCTCGTTATACTACGCTGCTGTTCTGACAGCCTGCAGCTTCATCTGTGGACACTGGCTGCTTTTTCACTGTTTC